AAGGCAAAACAACAAATCTGTTTTTTTTTCTGTTTTGAAGAGATATGTTAAATCTCATACAGTTTATTTCATTTTTTTTTGTTGTTTTTGTTCACTGCGTGATTTTTCTGCTTTGTTTATTTATTTCACATTTATCCGGTTCGTTTCTATTTGCTGTTTCTTCATGTTTACAGCTCAGGAACTCGGTTTTTGGCTGCTTTAGACAGAAGCACATAAATTCAAGTCTTAGAAATACTCCTTTTGGTGCTAATCAATCGAACAATCTTAAGATTGGCGAACATTTGTTTTTTTTTTCATAATAATTAAACGTGAACGATGATGACAGAAGAAAAAACTAATTGATTGGGAAAGTGCCATTTTTGTTTGTTTGCTTGTGTGTGTGTGTGTGATATCAAAGCTCCCCGTCCGCGATTAGATATAAAATACATGTGTGTTTGTGTGTTTTCAAGTAGGGTAAACAAGAAAGTCGCTTGCATCTATGCAGCAGTATTTTGTAAAACCCTGTTCATGTTTGGTAAACTTTAACTAGCCATGTGCGTTTGTTCAGTTATTTTTTTAGTGAAAACATAACCCTTTTCTTGCTTTCGTCCACGTTATTTCAACTCGCTTCTTTCTTTCTTTTTTTTTTCCGTGGTATATTCGAGTGTTTTTTCTTTTGTGTAGAACGAGAAAAACAAACAAAAATAAAGTATTAGGGAAATAAGAAATTCTTTTTCTTTTTGTTTTTTACATCAGAAATATTAGTAATCATTTTGCAGATAAATAAATAAATATATTATTTAATATCAATCAAAGATGAATATCGCTATGAATCGTATTATGAAAGAATTTAAGGAAGTAGTGGCTAATGAATCAGTAAGATAATTATCATTAATATATTTAAATCTATATAATATTTTCATAGAATGGAATTGAGTTACATATGCCAGAAGGTGAATTAACAAGAAACCCTTCGAATTCATCATCAAATAAAAAAGAAATTTATCTAAGTGGATCACTACTAGGACCACCAGATACACCTTATGCTGGAGCTCGATTTCATGTTGATATTATTGTTGTTGGTAAGTTGAATATATACGAAAAAAAAATACATATGTCTTTCTTTTTTTTCTATAGATACATATCCATTCAATCCCCCTAAAGTTCGATTTACTACAAAAATTTGGCATCCAAACATAAGTTCAGTGACCGGTGCCATTTGTCTTGATATTCTTAAAGATCAATGGTAAAAATATTATTGTTAATACTAATAAGATTAATTGTTTTAAATTATATAGGGCTGCTGCAATGACTATTCGAACAGTATTGCTTAGTTTACAAGCATTACTTGCAACACCTGAACCAGATGATCCACAAGATGCTGGTAATTGAATTGAGATATTATTCTAGTTGTTATTATATTAGATAATAAAATTTAGTTGTTGCTAATCAATATAAAAAAGATAGGAAATTATTTGAAAAAACAGCTCGACATTGGGCTAATGTTTATGCAAATGGTAAATGAAAAGTTTTTGAAATAAAGAAGAAAATTCAATAAATTAATCTTTTTAGGACCAACACCAGAACCTGAATGTGATGCGGCTGTTAAAAGTCTTGCTGAAATGGGTTTTGATGAAGTAATTAAATAAATTCGATATATTATTTAAAATAATTTCTTTTTTGTTATAAAGGAAAAAGCCCGTGCAGCCTTATCATCAATGCATTGGAATACAAGCGATGCTTTGGAAAGTCTATGTAAAGCATAAATAATTAAAACAAGACTGATATTCCAATTTTTTTTTATAATTATTATATGCTCTGCTAATCGTTTTCTCCTATTTTTCTAAACAAATATTCGAGATATATATGTGTTTGTGTGCGGCATGTATAAATCCTGAAATATGTTCTTGTGTGTTTATTAAACTAAAAAGAAAAAAAAGCACAAGAAATTCCTTTAACTCTTTTTTTTCTTTTGAGAAAAATATAAAATGATTATCAAGACAAATTTGGCTGTGTTCATTTTTTTTTTGATACATTGGTATGATCTTCTAACTATATCAAAAAAGAAATAAATTTGTTTCTCATTTTAATCTTATCATGTCAATAAATGAATGAATGCATGAATGAAGGATAATATAGAATGCTTCGAGAAACCCAACAGCTTAAAGTATTTGAATAGAACAGTCAGCAGAACCGGTATGTCGCAAATAATAGCCATCATATAGCACTTATCATCTCAATGACTGATCCATGTTCAATAACACAATACTTTCGAATCGAAACAAAAATACCATCGATATATCCGACTTTCTCTCATTTCTGAAAAATTTCGGATGAGCTTTTCTCCGTTTTCGAAAAAATACCTTAAGTTTTCTCCAATTCTGAAAAATTATATGGCTGCTTCTTTATTTTACGTTGATTAAAATGAAAATGTTCCACTTTTTCTTTCGCTTCATATAAACTGATTGCAATTAAGTTAGCTAATGATAAGAAAAAATTGATGTATAGATCTTGCATGTGTCGTAATTTGCATTCAGGGGCGGTACGATCGAGGAGCAATCGGGGTCACCTCCTGCTCTGGAAAGCTTTGGCTGGGACTTTCTTCGGATTCGAAAATTTTGGAGATCAGTTTTCTCCGATTTTGAAGACATATTTAAAACAGCTTTATCCAAAATCGGAGAAAATTATCTAAAAACGTTCTCCAAACTTGAGTTTTCCCCGAAGTCGGAAAAATCTAATTTTAGAGAAAATTATTAAGCAACTTTCTTCCATTTTGGATAAATTCGTTAGAAAATTTTCTCTAAATCCAAAAAAATTCAAGTTTCGAGAACAGTATTGAGCAACTTTCTTCGATTTTGGAGAAATATATTATACAACTTTGTCTCATTCAAAGAAAACTTCAATTTGGAGAACAATTTTTGACTTTCTCCAATTTAGGACTGATCCCTTCCTGCTTCAACCTCTTCGGACCGTCCCTGATTCATAAGTATGATTCAATAGGAAGAATGATCTGAACAATAATCAAAGGATTGTTTGTATTGAAATTTGTGCAAGAGATGACAGAATAACACAATAATCTGTTACAAGAAGCCATGCTTTCACATATTTCATGGATGCCCTCCACCTTGTCAAGGATTACTTGAAAACTTTTCCGAAAATTCTGAAACATTCAGTTGAGATAAGCATAGTAGAATAGAAAACAAAGATATTCTAGACATACATTCCTTCCCTCCACAAGAGATACGGATCATAGCAGTTGAAAGTGGTTCCTTCTTCTCAGCCTTATATTTCCGACCTACAGTGTCCTATTAAGCTGACTTTTTTTCCTAGAGCGGATTAAAACAAATTTTTCACTTCTGACGATTAAGAAATTATCTTGTCTACTATTTGGAAGCGTTCATCACCAATCTTCAGCGCACGTTTTAAGCATAAAACAGTCTCCATCAAGAACTCTATTTGGCTGATAATGAAACTGTGCAAGTCGATTCTTATAGCAGTTGAAAAGAATTTTTAAAAACTTGTCAGTGAGGCCCCATAAGAGAACGAAATGTAGAACTCACAAACTCTGACTGTTATAAATTTACGATATATTGTCAGAAGTTATAAAACAACTTATTAAAAAAATATCAAATAAATGAATAAATTAGAATTATAAGCATTTTTATAGTTGATACGCGCTCTGAAATTTTACTTTGTCGAAGTCTCATATTTATAATTGCTTTTCTATCAATTTATTTGATTCATTTAACATCTTAATGTTGAAAAAAAGTTATTTTATTCTCTGATACATCTTCAATACATAACTTCTATTTACTTAATAATAATATCTATACGATACATGTTAAATATTAAAAAAAGATTAAATATTAATGATAAAAAATATCAAATATTAGTTATTAATTATTAATTAAGTAATTCGCCATTTAACTAATTAGTTAATTAATTGATTTGTTTGTAACAGTTTGTAATGGTGGCGGGGAGGGGGGTCACTATGGTCTGTAATGGAGGGGATTATTAATGTCTGTAATGGAGAATTACTAAATGTCTGTAATGGGGGCCTAGAAGAAGGGAAGCCGCAAAACCTCGATTTAAAACTTACACTCACTGTTTTCTTCGAAAATATGCGTAAGTTCCACAAAACAAGAGAGACAGACAGGGTTGCCAGATCATCCGAATTTTTTGGAAATTTCCGAATTTGCCAAGTTTTTCCGACTGATTTCCGATTTTCCGAATTTATCCGAATTGTTGAGATTTTTTGCGAATTTTTCCGAATCGTAATATTTTTAAAAATTTTCCTTTCGGTACAATTTTCGATATAATTTTTAATAGATTTCATATCACGCCATCTTTTCTTTCCTGTAATCATTGGATAACTGATTTTATTCTTACAGACAAGAAGAAAAGAAAAAGGAGAGAAGATGCAATATGATAAGCATTTTTTTTCAAATCTCATTTAAGATTTGTCAAAATAACTTAAGTTAATGTTTGGTTTTCAAAGAAGTCACATGAATGAATAATATCTCTAAAAGGTCTAATCTAAATGTAAATGAACATGCCGTTTTACTTTTTAATGGTTATATTTCAGAATAAATAAAACGTTATTATGGATGATAAATCTGATGATTCCTGCATCAATATGACTTTGAGTGAAGAAGAACAAGAATCTCTTCAAAAAAACGATATGTATTCAATCAACAACAACTTCAAATTCCAAGAGAAATAAAAAAAAAGGTGTTTTTCAAAAGGAATGGACATTATACTTAAAGAATTTTCATCTTGGTTGCAGGAGGTGAAAAGTGATTGTAAAAAAGCTCGTTGTAAAGCTTGTTTAAAAACGTTTAGCATTCATGAAGGAAAACCAGCTTTAAAAAAAGCATATGAATAGTAAAATTCATAAGACACATATGAAATCATTCGGAAATAATACATTGATAACACACACTTCATTTGGTGAAACACAAAAAGTGTCAGCTATGGAGGGTACGTTTGTTTATCATGGAGTAAAGCACGGTCATAGTTACATGTCTCAACAGTGTATAAGAAATCCAGTTAAAGATTTATTTGCGTCATGTTCAAACACTGCTAAAAATTTAGCATGTGCGAAAACAAAATCAAGAGCTGTTGCTTGTAATGTTCTTGCCCCTTATTTCACGTCCAAATTAATTGATGATATATCAGAAGCTCGATTTTATTCGATATCATTTGATGTTTCAAATAAAGGAAATATAAAAACATATCCATTTACTGTTCAATATTTTAGTGACATTGGAGTTAAAAGAGGTAAAGAAATATTTCATAACTCAATGTTTATGTTTTTTTACGTATAGGAATTCTTCAATTTGTTGATGATCCACGTGAATCAGCAAGTGATGTATTTAATAATGCAATGAAAGTGATAGAAAATTATCAATTAGATATTCGAAATTTAACAAGTATCGGTGCTGACAATGCCAACGTAAACTTTGGTGAGCATCATTCGGTATTTAAATTATTCAAAGATCTTTGTCCATGTTTAGTGAAAGGTATATCAATATGTTTATTGTTAGCGTATTTTCATGTCTTTGAACTTATATTTGTATAACTATTTAATTTTTTTATAGGAAATTGTTATGCTCACGTTCTTCATAATGGCGTAAAGCATGCACATGATGATTTATTGATTGACGTTGAACTCATTTTATGTAAAATATATTCTTTTTTTTCTAATTCAGCAAAACGTGTTGAAGAATTGAAATCGTATTATGATTTCATTCAAGTTGAATATCGTGTAGGTTATTTGTGAAATACAGATTAAGATGAACAGTAAAGAAATCCATATACATTCTTCATAATTTTTTCAGGTTTTGTTGGAACATATTACTGTAAGGTGGTTGAGCTTGTTACCCTCAATTCAACGTTTAATTGAAAATTATGAACCTTTAAGAAATGACTTTTTAAATCAACAAATACCAAAAACAACAAAACCAAACAGAACAACCAAAAATCTTCAAGTTTTGAAGACGTTTTTTGAAGATGATTGTGGTTTGTGCATTTTGATTTTTTTAGAAAATGTATTAGTTGATATTCAACGAGCTGAATTGAAGCTGCAACGCGTTTATACTACAGCCGTTGATCTCTATGGTATTATCTCAAATTTAATTAAAAAATTAGAACAACGATTGAATGATAAATATTTTGGAAGTAAAACACATTCACTATTAAATCAATTAATGGTTTTCAATGAAGATAAAGCTAAACAATTGCAAGATTCATTTCAATCATTTATTGAATGTGTTATTAAATATATTGATTCTTATTTTGATTGGGCTCGAGATTTATTTCAAAAATGATCTGCTTTTGATTATGAATCAAATGGTTTTCTTAAATGGAATTATTTATTGGATGTTATTAATATGATCAAAATAGATGGTTTAGATAGAGATGAACTCTACAATGAATATTGTGAAATTAAATTTATACACGATGAAATGAAAAATAAGAATGTTAAAATAAATGAGCAAATAAAACCATACATTTCAAGTAAAAATGGTTATAATCCAAAATCAATAATCAATAGTAATCAAATTCCATGTGATGCTAACGACGATGATAATGATGGTTTATTAAATAATGATGCAAGAACAAATGAATATATCCAATCTGATCAGCTATGGTCATATTTATTAAATATTAAACCGAAAACAACACCAAATATGAAACTAGTTATTGCCTACGTATTTTCTATTCGATGTAGCAATGCTTTTGTTGAATCAATATTCAGTCACATGAGTCACTTATGGTCTGATTATCAAAATCGAATGAATATCGAATTGGTCGAAGCTGAACTATAAATCAGAATGAATTCCAATATTCCTTGTGCACATTTTTATGACTTTCTTTTAACTCAAGAGGAACTATTGAAACACATAGCTTCAAATGAAAAATTTATTAGAAAAAAACATCTTGATAAATGAACTTTAGTTTTTTTTCAATAAGTATTTTCAATTGTATATATACACATGTATACATAGTTTATTTTGAGTTGTTTTTCTTGTATTGACTGTCTCTTCTTGAAAGTGACGTTTTCTAACAGTGCTATATTTAATGTATTTATTTTAATATTGATGAAATATATCTACAGAGAGGATAACCAAACTCAGAAAGCTTTTTTACCAGACAAAAAATCATCTTAAGCGTTGAAAAGCTTAGAAACTACTTTCCGAATTTTTTCCGAATTGACCAGATACTTTTTTCGAAAATTTCCGAATTCAGGCAAAGAAATTCCGATTTTTAAGATTTTGATCTGGCAACCCTGTCTTCGACAAAGAAGAAACTCATATTGGAACCTGCACCAGTTATTACCGAATGCAGATATATATCTTCACTTTCATGTATTGTCTTCTTGTTCTTCGCTAATCAAAAGAAGGATGTGGGTGTGGGTGTGGATGTGGATGTGTGGCTGCGGATGTGTAGGTATGGGTGCGCGGGTGCTGGTGTGGATGTACATCATCTCTTCACTGTCCCTGACACACACCGATACACCCACATCCTGTTTTTTTCCTATTTGTGAACAAGTAAAATTTTCTTGTTGAGGTCAATAGTGGTATTTAACAAAGATTCTCACTGACCTTGCCCATATGAATTTGGAGTGTGAACATGTCTCTATCTTTGGCAAAAATATCAGCTCGTTTGCTCGAGCCGTAATGGAGATATTCAATTTTTTGTTGTTGGGTAAAGTGACTTTTGGGCCGCCCTGTATAACTAATTATTATATTTATCCATATGTAATTCAAATGTTTTCACATCTTTATGAATTATACGTCTATGTAGATGTAATATTAAGATACTACTTGATAAAATTTCGTCAAGGCAGAGATAACTGTTGTCGTGGTACGGCGTACATTCTAATCACATACCCATACTCACATCCTCTATACTTTGTCAAAAAATTCCTTTCATACAATAGTGTAGATGATGTTTTAATTTGATTCTTAATTGTAATCGAATTAAAATGTCTTAAATCACCTGAGGCCGGTATGGCTGAATGGTTAAGTTGTTTGACATATATTCACAAGATACTATGTTCGAACCTCGGCTCCATCAGTCATAGAATGACCTTGGACAAGTTACTAACGGCTGTTTTGTCTCGGACCATCCATCCGATAACAAACTGACTACGCGTTGACATACAATAAAAAGTCCGTGTGACTAGTATGTGGTTAGTCAGTGTGTATGGGGAGCTTAAGTGATTAAGCGAGAAGAACTCTGCGTTAGGCTGGCCTTCTGTCCAGAGCTGCATCTAGCAATAGATGTAGGAAAAATATCGGGCTTATCGAAACTGTCCTCGGACAGCACCCTACACCGCAAGGTAGCCGAAAGGCGGGGTATTCTTCTTCTTCTTCTTAAATCACCTGTGAAGTTCCTTGAGCAAGGACGTAATTGGTTCTGGTATGCTTTTCTACGTAATAGTAGCTCTTTTTCATATTCATCGCTAACTTGGTTGTATTAGTTTGATGAATTTCACAGTACAGAGCTTTCTGAAACAGATGAAGAAAGTTGTTTAAAAAACCAGGAGAAATCAAGAGGAAGTTTTAAACATCAGCTCCTCGATTCACGGGAAACCTTGACTAGAAGAAAAGCATAAAAACCAGAAGAGTTCTGTTCAGATCAGAATGTTTGGCAAGTCTGGTTTCAGATGATGCTGCTTCAGATGCGTATATCAAATAAAAAAAGTAAGATTTGACGAGTACTCCTTTTGGCGAAACGATTCTCGATACTCTCATGAGTGCTATCTTCGACTACTACACCGATACAAAGATAATTGCTAAGAATCAAGAGTCAGGAACAGTGGCTTGAGCTTTTTCCATTGCACATAAAAACCGCTTATTAGTACTACTTAAGCCTTTTGTTATCGGTTAGATGCGATGACTACTCAAGAACAAGATTCGATCATTTCACTTTTACACAAATACGAAAATTTATTGGATAAACTTCCTTACTGGCCGCGGTTACTTACAGTTCTCAGTGTTATAAATGGTAGGGGTTTTTCTAGACCGGTACCGATGTAAATCGGTCAGATCAGACTGGACCGGTCGGTAGATCGGCATGAATCATTGTGGGATTTTCTCTTCTTATATGAGCGATACCTATCTCTAAATCATTACATAAATCACTCAAGACTTCGATTTCACCACTCAGAAGCCTTTCTAACACGTTATTATCAATAGATATTGAAGGATATCATGAGAAAGATAGTCCTATCTCCTTATTTGATTGCAAAAATCGTGTAAAATCTGCCTTTTGATGCTCATTTAGTTTTCCGACAGAGATTTGGCATGACACGATACTTCGGTGCACGGCATTTCAGCGCAGCGACATTTCCGCGCACCACACCACCGCGCGCGACACTTACGCACTAAATGAAGTTTTCTGTTTTCTCTGCGTTCGGTTAATGCATCTTCTAAAATTCCATTAATAGATCTGTGAGTCTTTGCTCCAGTGTGGAGTATATGTTGATGCGAGGCATCCGTAGGGTCATTCGGTAAAACTTTGGAACTGATGAACTGTTTGTGAAAGTAATATGATCTCATCTGATCTTTTTCGGCAGTTCGGCTAAGACGCAATCAACTGTTCAAAGAGTTCTTCCGACCTTAGGGAAACTGCTTAAGCAGTTATGCTCAGATTGATGCCTGATTGAAGAGGTCATTTGATAGACCACACCTGTTTTGAAAGACAGATAGGTTTTTACAGAAAAATAAGATGCTGGTACTGAGACCTGGGACGCTACAGATATCACCTAAACTGCTAGAGGAATCATGCGCGTTACTAGTAGTATCACTTGGAATGCTAGAAGCATCACTAGAATACTGGAAGTTTCACCTGGGTTACTATAGGGATAATCTCGGATACCACAGGTATCACTTAGATTATTCGCAGCATCTTAAATGATGCTCCTCGCTTTCCATGTAACGGTTCTAACATCAGGTATGATATAACCAGCACTCCGGGTGATGCGCTTGGCGGCCTAGGTGATGCCTCTAGCATCCCAATGATCCAACTAGCATCTCACGTAATGCTACTGGCATCCTAGGTGATGCCTCTGGCATTTCAGGTATCGGAGCTGCTGTGGATGCGAACTCAGACTGTGAAGTGCAAGTGTGTGCTCCTATGTGGATTTGGGATTCGCATGTGATTTTTGGAGCGAATTTGAGTGTAGGGATGTGGTTGTTGGTATTAGAGTTCCAGTTGCCTTCGTTCCATTCGTGCGCGGAAATGTTGCCGCGCGAAAATGTCGCAGCGCTGAAGTGTCATGCGCGGAACTGTTGTGCAAGAAAATGTCGGCGCGGAAATGTCGCGCGCGGAAATATAGGTGAATCGAGATTTGGATCTCCACAAAGGCTTGGTAGTTTTTCCGGCATGCTGGCCTTCAGTTTTGGCAGGGTCTGTGATTTGCACAATACAGTTCCTCGACCGGTCTGAAGAAATTCGTTTCTATCGACCGGTATATCGATCGGTAAGAAATCATAGGCTGGACCGGGCCTGCTGTTTCCCGTCTTCGGTTGCAACATTGACGGCCCTCAGTCACCGCGATCATCGGAAATTCGCGGTGGTATATGGGAAGTTCCCACCCGTAGATGGGAAATTTCCAGTGGTAGTGGCAAATTCGCGCTTGTGAGTGGGAGATTCTCATTTTTAGATGGGGAATTCCCAAAGATAGTGGAAAATTCGTCCTAGTAAATGGGAAACTCACTCTACTAAGTGGGAAATTTACCCTACTAAATGGGAAATATACCCCGTTGAGTGGGGAATTCCCAGCCACTGCCTGCTACATATAAAAACACGAGCGTCTCGGTGTTTAACTCATATCAATCCAATCTTCCCATACAATAAGCGAACAACAACTGTACCACATACAACTTCCATAGTTACTCATTTTCATCTATCATTCTCACTTCAAGCTCGAATAGCACCAAACGACAATGCAAAATAGCAAGCAAATGATTTGTTTATTCATTCTCTCAGCGTTAATCGCAATAATGAACATGCCACAGGCGCGCGCAGATCAACATGCGCACGGTACTTGTTACCTAAAACAAAATACATGCCTCTTATATCACACACTGCAGTATTCGAACAGAACTCTCAAGCTACAAAGCATTCATATCCCATCTCATTCCCATCTGTATCAGTACCTCTAAAAATTGCCTCGAAGTAAGCAAACTGTTTGAATAGAATATTGGTTTGCATTATTCACTTGATGCCTGTTCGTACAACAAAATTAACTTCAAATATTTCGCTGGAACGGAATAACATATTTCAATAGAACCCTGATGATACAAAGCGTTTATAT